TAGCATTTCTGCACCCTGAAGGTGACAGATCAAGTGAAGGTGCTAAAGCTGCAGCCGTATCATATGTCTTTGCAAAGATCTTTTATCTCTTGTTTAAATATATGTTGGGTGTTTGAGACTTTGGCATTGCTTTGAAGATCCCCACCTTGTTTATGTAGACTTTTTTCTGAAACTCACACTTAAAGTATTGTCTCTTCACTCTTCAGCATGAAGCCCGAACTCCCAGGAGGGGTCACCGTGGTGCCATGGCTTTTCCACACATTGTGCGCCCAGTTGAGGAGATCACAGTGGAAGAGCTGAATAATATTTGTGGATCTGCAAGAGATAAAGTATATAACAGGGCCATGGTAAGCATATTCCAAGTTTGTGAAATGCATACTTTGTGGGGTCATTTTCTTGTTATTCCCTGCTTGTTGTTTATCATCAGATAGAGCAGACTCCCTCTTGCTGAGAGGCAGGATGTGATTTTTGGGAGAAGTATGCCTGAGATCTTGAAACATCATCACTTATCTTTCCCCAAATTTCTAGAATGCCCTTTACCCAAGCCAGTTAGCTTGCTTTCACTCTGGAACTGCTGTAGTACCCAGGTGATACCAGCCGAGGGAAGTGATTAACAGACACGGAAGGTGCAACATTAAAACAGACTTGGTTCAAATTTGCAAGGTGGCTTTCTGTTTCAGGATAAGCACTGCTAGCTGCAAAAGTGATTGCTTGTTAAATGCTCTATTCCCCTAATGAAAGAGACATCTTTAATGTCGTGTTTCCTGAACTACTTTCTCTGTGTTCTAGGGATCCACCTGTCATCAGTGTCGCCAAAAAACCATAGACACGAAGACAAATTGTCGTAACCCTGATTGCATAGGAGTACGGGGCCAATTCTGTGGGCCATGCCTCCGCAACAGGTATGGGGAAGATGTCAGAACGGCGTTGCTGGATCCGGTAAGACAATTTTGAATATTGGCTTTATTGTGCTTAGCTTGAGCAGAGAGGTGCATTGGTTACTCATAGTGAAAGAGTTTTAGTGAGGGAACAGTTCTATAGTGCAAAATGCAGTCCTGGTTTGATTCAAACAGTCACAGACTTTGTGTTGTAAGTAAGTTATACACTACTTGTGTAGCTTTATTTGCAGGAGTAAACTATGAGGACGGAACAGCTGCCAAAATATTTTTGTATTTGAGCATCAGAATAGCATCCTCTTTTGCCTTGCATTAATGCTTAATGCCCTATGGAAAGAAACTGTACTGTGGACAAAGTGCTGCTATTGTGGGCTTTAGAAGTGTTGCAGGAGTTGAGCAGAGTGGAATGCTTCCTGTGGTCATGTGCAAGGCAGGCAAAGGAGAGTTTAATCCCTTACAGACTGAAGAATTTGTACTCTTGCACTTCAGACAACTTCTGAAGTACTGATGTTCACCATAGAACTTGATGCAGAGCAGGGTCCTCTCAAGTTGTGGATGTGAATCATGTCTGACATTCCAATTCAGTTATAAAGGCTTGTTGTCTGCCTTTTGTCTAGAACTGGAGGTGCCCACCATGTCGTGGAATCTGCAACTGTAGCTTCTGCAGACAGCGAGATGGCCGATGTGCTACAGGTGTCCTGGTCTATCTGGCCAAGTACCATGGCTATGACAATGTCCATGCCTACTTGAAAAGGTAAGTATGTTGTTGTGTCAGTGACATGCCTCTGCTCTAATTGGGATAAGCAGCTCAAAATTGGGAGAGGAGAGCTCTCCACATCCCAGTCTCTCAGGGAAATATCAAGATGAGTCCATGTTGCCTTTAGAATCTTGAGATTTTGCTAAATGATTTTTCTGACATGTTGGTTCAAACCCAAGACAAATGATATAGCCACTCTGTCTTTTGGCTCGCAACTTCAGCTGTGTTTATTGTCAGGGCTTCCACTAATTTGTCTAAAGAGTTTCTGAACAGTGTTTTGCTACAAGCTAACTCATGTTTCTACTTGTCTTTCAGTCTGAAACAAGAACTTGGAATGGAAGACTGAAGCTGTGACTGCCTTGAAATTACATACTCTTTCAGCAATGTCATATTATCGCCTACAGTGAATTGTTTAATCAAATGAGATTACAAAGCCAGTGCCTGTGTTCCCTCCCCTTTTGGGTAAAAAAGGATAAAGAACTTTCACTTACCTCAGTGCAAATCATACTTGGGGAAAACTGTTTAATGAAGGTCTTTGCCCACAGGCCATTGTTTTCTTTTCAAACAACTTTGCAAATCGGATAATGTCAGTCCTTGCTTTCATGCCAATAACCTTTTTTTTTTTTTTTTCCTGAAAGGAGATGTGGCTTTAAGCCATTAGAGTTTTATACATGCAGTAATCTGTGCTGCAGCTTTATTTATGCTTCGAAGTTGATCACAAAAAGATGTATATGTTCTGAGAATTCAGGGCACTGTTCCCCACAGAACCAAGTGGGGAAAGGTATGTGCTTAACTCCAGGCCAACTTCTGCTGGACTGCAGACTCTTACTGAACATAAATGATCAAATAGAAGCTAAGAATTCTCTAAAACAATAACGCATTCTTAAGGTCAAAAAGGAAGCCCTAAAAGTTGCAGCTGAGCAGTCTCCAAGCACTAATATTTGGTTTTATAGAGTACTCAAAGTGCACGTTGGCCATTTTAAGGGAGATTCTCCAAGTGACTTAAAAAATGCAGCAGAAGCAGTTGGGGGTGGCACTTGGTATTTTTGCTCAGATGAGAGGAGGCCACTGCTCAAAGCTTCTGCAGCAGTAGCCCTAGCATTACCTAGTGATGACAGTGATGTGAACATACTGGTATACATTGTGGAGTGACCACTCTGTCTAAAACAGGCTGTACCCTTGGTTAAATTACTGGTTTTGTGGGTTCTCTTCTCCCTGCTCTTGCTGCAGCTGCAGAACTCCTTCTTTGCAGAATCGTCACTGGTCCTGGGGAAGAGGAGGAAAGATGGTAACTTGTTGAATTTGATTATCAGGAAAGGGGACAATGACAAAACAATCACTGGAGTCAGAAGCCTGAATTTTTTTACATCTGGATAAAAAAAAAACCAAGAACTTTCTAAGCTACAGTCCAGCTTAAAGTGAGTTATTCTTCTAGTTGCATAGAGCAGCATAAACGTAAATAATGTTCTTAAGAGACACCTTGGTTGTAGTAACAGATGAGGAAGAGCGATTGCCTTGTCAAAAAGGCTTTGAAAAATAAATAAAAAGGGAGATGTAATGAATTGCATACAGTTTGTGAGCACTTATAAATGTGGTTAGTGTTGTGGTCTCCTCCTTAACAGTCCATTCATATTTCTGTATCTGGTTCCACATGACTTAGAAGGATATTTCACATGATGTTAATGAAGCATGAGTACAGCAAAAACGGAGCTGAAGCATTCTAATGTGCTGTGTGGATGGGGTCTTGTGTACTCAGTGCTGTAGAAAAGGTGCCACAAAAATTGCATCTGGAGAACCACAAAGTGTATAAATGTGCTTAGTTTGGTTATGGAAACTACTGTATAAGCTTTATATAAGGTTTAGAATGCAATGTTACAAATAATGTACAGTTGAATAGTAGAAGAATCAACTTGCTTTTATTGAGCACTAGAAGGAAACGTGGGTTTAGACTGCTTGCACAGTATTTGCGCTGTGTGTATACATAATGATACACAGTATAAACCCTTCTGGGAATTACATCAGTGTGTGCGTGGGAGGGGAGGAGAGAGGAATTTAGAAACAAAAGATATTTATGTCTCAGACTTGCAGTTCTGTTTCATAAATCATCTGTCCTATTGAAAATCTTCTGTCCTCTCTTTCTCTGTTTTTATAATGTGAATAGCTGTGCAGTCTGAGGTGGAGAGTGCTCTATTCTCTAGGTACATTTTGTGAAGAAGGAACTCTAGAAATACATGTTCTGACAGATAAGAGCGATTTCCACTCCTCTTATGCCCCCCCCAATTGCAAGGCTTGCCTTCTGATTGCTAGAGTGTGAAAGGACTGTGCTAAAAGCAAACCCTTGTGTCATATCACAAAGACTGCTGTATTTAGACTTTCTCAGATCTACAATGTTCTGTACAAAATTTTTTATTTTGAAAATAAAAATTTTCTGGGTTAGAATTTTTGCCTCTTAACTGTTTTTAAAAAGCGCATTAGAGCTGTACTTAGATTTTACCACCTTTCAGGTAAACTTTTGTTGCAAGTAAAGGAGTTGGTTGCTCCCATCATACTGGGGAAGCAGTGGGACTAGGATATCTTTCTTTCCTCCTAGGCCTGTGTTCCTGAACTAGGCTTGCTCTGATATTTTGCTGCTTGGATTGGACTGTTTGGTACCTGATGACTAATTTGTGATGGTAGAAATATTTAGATGCTGAGTTCAGGCCAGATACAGACTTCAAGCACATGTGCTATGTGCTTACCCTTTTTTGGTACGTTTTTTTTTGAAACGTGATGCCTAAATCCTGAGCTGAGAAGGATGCGGAGGTGGTTATTTCAGACACATGTCAAAGTCGGGTATCTGCCATTTCCCCACCCCACCCCCCCCCGACAAACTCTTAAGTAACTTTTGGGAGCTCTGTGCTGGAGCAGAGAATTATCTGGGGGACCTTGATTGCAGGCTGACAGTGCTGAAGACTGGTTTTGATACTTGTGCTGCTTGCTTTTGTGTCAGTGTAGCTGGGTCTAGAGAGAGGAGTTGCATGAGACTGTGGCAGAAGATTGCACAAAGCTCACCTGTAGTGCGAGGAAACAGGAAAGAAGTGATCACGCACAGTGACTGAGCTGTCCCCAGATACTCTCTACTGGTAAAACCCTCATGTTGTTACTCTCACCTAAAAGTTTTGTTTAGATGCATTACCTTGCATCACACTGATGGTGATGTGAGAATAAATTTGTATGTAATTGTGTAGTATGTTAGTTTACGATTTACATGATGATTTTTGAGGTGTCTCAAGACACCTTTTTTCCTAAGTCTCTGTACCACAGCTACCTAAGTGCTGTTGATATTAACTTGAAATATAGGTAAAGAGCTCATGGTTTGTATCTGCAGCAAATGGGCAGCAATTTAAGAAACTTCATGAGGAAAAAATCCTAACTCTGTCAGCTTTAAAAACAAAGATGCATGGAAATAGAATTATCACTGTTAAAGGAAGAACAGAAGAATGAAACTCATGTGTGAGGTAGAATGACTGTTAATTTATTCTTGAAAAAGGCTGTATGAGTTGATAATTCGTCATTACTCTCAGCTTTAGGGCCAGGTGATCTTGTGCCTAGTCTGATACAACTTATATATTTTTTTTAACCTGGTATGATCACTTACAACTGCTAGAAATAGAATACTCAAAAGACTAATTACACTCCAAGGAGTTAAATTCCTTGGACGGCCAGGTGGTCTTGTGCCTAGTCTGATATAACTTATATATTTTTTTTTAACCTGGTATGGTCACTTACAACTGCTAGAAATAGAATACTCAAAAGACTAATTACACTCCAAGGAGTTAAATTCCTTGGACTTTTGTTCCTTATGATGGGAGGTGGATGGGAAGGGCATTGGTGGCTATATAATAGTCTGAAAGAAGTGACTATGCTGTAAGGATGAGTGACAGCTTTTTTTTTCTTCCCCAAGTTAAATAGTAAATAAACCTCCAAGCTTGCTTATGAGTAAACTTTTCATTACAGTGATACAGTATCTACTGATGGAATTGGCCAAAACCTTACTATCTGCAGATTCTTAGACTAGTGTATATTAATATATGTTATTTGCTTCTTCCCTGTCTCACTTTCTTTTTAATTAAGCCAAATGTTGAAACATTAGGTTTCCTCAAATCTTGAGAGAAGGTTTTTTGTCTTCCTTACCTATTAAGCAAACTGTGTTTTTTTCACTGTATGTAAGTTACAAAAGTAGCATTGAAGTGTTGCTTCACAGGCTGATGTAGCACATACTATGTGTCAGAGCAACACACTCAGCTGCTTAACCAGTTACGTTAGTATAGATAGCTGGAATGGAAACTTTAAATTTGGAAACTACCCCCTCTCCCTTCCTAGCCTTATGGGCTAATATACCTTAATTTTTCTGCCGGAAACCTAAAACCATATTTTGAAGAAAAAAGCAAGGAGATGGTCACATAGGAAAGCATCATCATCATTTGCTTGAGTGGGCTAATGGGACCAAAAAGGGCAAAATGGTTGCATCTAGTCAAAGAATGGCTTTCAGTGTTCCAGGGTGAGGCAACGTAGCTGACTTTGAAACCTTACCTGTAATACACAATGTGCATCTGAAACATTTGGCAAGAGAGTCACCCACTGACCTCTGCTGGCATAAACTAGTTCATTCTCTTAAAAGTTTTTTGCTAGTGCAGCTCTTGTGTGGCCAGTGGCATAAGCTAGTGTGGAGACTGTGGAAGTACTGCCTGCTTATTCTTCCATGTTCTTGGCCTCGTAACTAAAACAAAGTGATTAAAAAGATATGGCTTTCTCTGTCAAGTATAGGCTGGCCAGTCTATGGGGTCTTAAACTCCAGCACCCAGGTAATGCTGGGCTGTGTCATAGTGTCACATGAGTGTATGGGCTCCAGATGTTGAGAGGACAGCATCACACTTTCATGCTGGGTCTCACCCTTCTTCCAAATAATAAGCCTGGGGCTCCGAAATGGGTGTCAAAAACCCCATGAACCCTTTTGGGATGGGGGTGGCAAACAGGAGGGGAATTGTATGTTTGAACCCAAAAATGTAATTATCAGTGCTAGTGGTAGGAGTCCTGAAACTGGGAGGTGAGGGGAAAATTTGGAATCCTATTGTGACTGATATAAGAAGTTGTAGATACTGTATTTGTATGAAAACATGTCTAGAGCATAGACCTACAGTCATTAAAGAAGATCTGCTTGCTGCTGTTTGGTACAGGCTTTCTTCCAGCTACATTCGATTGAAATCTTGTTGAAAGGATGGCGGACAGTTCTGTTATGTGAAAAAAATAGAACAGAAGTCATGATATGGTCAGGATGGGGTAAGAAGGTATCGTACCAGTCATCTTTATTAGTAGTACTTTAGTAGTATTTGTGCTAATCACTTGAACTAGAAAAAAAATCAGTTGAACTGTAGATCCTTCTGTGTTGAGCCCTACTCATAAAAATCTTTTCCCTGAGTATGTCTGCAGGTAAAACTTACCTC